GTCTCACTCTACTATTTTGTAATTGTATGCCCTGGCCTTTGAGTGACCAGGGCTGCGTAATGAATTCGAGTAGGATTGTACAATAGCTCGGCAAACGCCGAGCAAATTGATATAAACGTACATCCCACAAAAAATGGATTGTCAAAATTTATCCCAAATTTTACAAAACCGCAGCGGTTATGACATCCCAGGGCTAAAAAAATTCGGAAACTCGCATCTCTACTTAACATTGTTCCTAAATCTTAGCCGTTAGGGCTGTTCTGAAAATATTTTTTTTTTCGAAAAAATTCGAAAAAAAATTCTTAAAATTCAAAAATCCCTTAATTCCTGAGGATTTTGGAAAAAAGTTTTTACATGAACATGTGTATATTATATGAAGTATATTGATAAGGTAAAAATCAAATTTTATTGCATATTCATCGAGAAAATAAACTAACGAATCCCTCAAAATTGAGAGGGTAATCCTCCTCCTCTCAAATAAACGTACATACGGGTGCACCCTTAAGTATATCAATAATGTTTTCTTAGTTTACATATTATTGATATTTGTATCATGCTGAAATGTGAGATCAATTCGATTGTATCATCGCTTATCTTGATGTGGTAAATTTTTGTCATTTCAACTATAAATGGAATAATTATAGGTTCAAAACGAACAGTGTAAATGTCGTCGAACATTTCAATGCATACGAATTTGAAATCAATATGTGTATCTTCTACAAGGTACTGATCAATGTATGATTTAAATTTTTAGAAAATTATCTCTGTTTTAGTTTAATAAAATAATATTGCGCGGTGAATTTGTATCTCAAAATTATGTAACTGTATCGGTAACAACTTCAAATGTCTTATTGACAAGATTTGTAAAAAAAAATCAAAAATATACTTGAGATCATATAAATGTGCTCTTCTCTTTATAACGTAAGAATTGATCAAAGATAACATGTGTACTACTGATTGATTTTGGAGGATTGCTATGATTAGAGACGATTTGATTAAATAATTCAATGAAAAATGGACTATTTGATTCATCAATTAGGAGATTCGATTGTTTGTATTCGATTGCACTTCTGCATTTGGTGAATTAGTTGTATCGTAAATCAAGGAAAGTTAATCATCTGCTGTGATACTCTTAAAAAATTAAAAGAACGAATTTTTTTTCTAAATACAATTAATGGCATCAGATGATTAGATTACTTTTTTAGAAATCATCAATCAAATTTGGCATATTTTTGAAAGAATATCTAAAGACAAGACACCCAATAAGAGTTTTTGTGCATACGGTTCTCGGGCGCCTATGTCACATTCACAAAGGACTCCGTCTTTATTAGCAAACTCAGAAGAAATGTTTAACTAAAAGAAAAATTATTTCATCAAGACTAATAAATGTTTTAAAAAAGCAAATCACATCATTAACATATCAGTTTTAATTACAAAACTCAACGATACATAACAAATTTCTTCGAAATTTAAATTCTCATTAAAAAATTCTTTTGATACAAATTAAATAGCTACATATTCGATTTTCCCATTGATACGAACTTATTGTTTTCATTCAAGATTTACAAGAAATCAAATACTTATTTCACAACAACAAATATCTATTTTTACTCAAACACGAGCATGTATTTACTAATAAATTCATGTTTTTACATCATTACATTTGACAATACTATCAAAACAACCCCAAAATCAAACTAATTTTCGATATTCTTTATTCAGACCAGAGAATTCATATAAATCATCGATTACTCAAATTTAAGTATTCATTTAATGTAATAATTGTTAGATATTAGGCGTTTTATATAAAGATTCTCCCTATTTCAAATTTTCAAGCGAATTAAGTCGATATTTCATACATTTTATAATATACAAATCATGTGTAAGTACAATAGCTTTAATTATTTACAATATTGATCATTTTATTACGAAATCCAAAAATTTAATCAGCAAAATCGATGTTTTTATATAAGAATTAGAATGATTTACATCATTGTTTCCATGCACTAGCTGTTAAAATGCTGATGACAGCTAAAAGAATCGCAATTTCATAACTTGAATATAAGATTCAAATGAATCGGCATTATTTGACATTTACATCATTGAAATGTCAAATAATGCCGATTCATTTTTTTGATGAAAACAATGAAATTCAATCACGATTTTCAGATAACAGTATCAAAACACACATCAACTATGAATAATTTACACTTTGATCAATTACCTGATGATGTTTGGAAGTTATTTTACAATACATCACCTAATTCAGAACCAATTCAAGGTACAAATGTTACAGCAAGATCAACAAATAATGAATGCTTCTTATATAACTGTATATTCATCACCATTACAACTAAAAGTGCCATTTATTTTTCGAATACAAGCAATAAATTTCTTAACTCGTATTGTTCATTTACTAACTGCAGCAGTAATATAGGGTGTCCAAAGGTGTGTTTAGCACAAACCTGAATACTGCGAATAGAAATAAACAAGTTACATATATATAAAGTTTATTTAAATATAATCACCATTGGATTCAATCACGCGTTCGCAGCGATCGATCCAGGCTTGAAAGACACGCTTTAAATCATCATGAGAAAATTGCTCAAATTGCTCTCTTACAAAATTTTCAAGATCATCTGGACTCGCGAATTCGCGTCCTTCAGCTCTCTTTTTTAGCGTGCCGAATAAATAAAAGTCAGAGGGTGCAATATCAGGTGAATAAATTGGGTTTGGAACAACTTTGACATTGTTTTCCACCAAGTAATTCATTACTTTATGACTTTTGTGAACTCTTGAATTATCAAAATGAATTGCAAACTTTTGTTTTTGTTGTTTGGATTTCTCAAACTCATCAGAATTGATAATTTGAGTAAGAACATTGTCAATTAGATACTGAGCATTCATCGTATTAGGTTTTTGAAGAATATCAATTGCGATGATGCCATTCACGCCCCAAAAAACCGACAACATCATCATTGGTGTGTCAATTTTTTTCTTCGGGAATGTTTGCGGATTTTCATCCTTCGGGATCCACATGATTTTGACTTCTGTTGCATATTGAAACCAAGACTCGTCCCCTGTTACTAAAAAGCGAAACTTCTTGGATTGATACGCACCCAATATAGAGAGGAGCTCTTTCGAAGATTGGACTCTAGATTTTTTTTGAACTGAATTAAGGTTGTGCGGAACCCAACGTGTATACGCTAGTTTGTAGTTCAAATAATTGTGCAGATAATAACTGACTGTTGTACGTGGTATCTTTGTCATCTCCTCTATCCTTCTGAGTGATGCTCTTGGGTCTTCATCTAGCGCTTGAAGAATTGCTTTGATTTTTCTTTGATCCGGCGATTTTTTGTCAATTTTTATGATGGGCGCCTTTTTGTTCATGAAGTGATACATCCTAACATGATACGTTACAGTGGAATAGCTAGGAGCATCCATACCGAAGCATTTTACCAATGTCTCGTAGATTTTTTTACAGTCTTTGCATTTTTTTGCAAGAGCGAGGATGTTTTCTTTATGATTCATTAAAAAAATGAAAAAATCCCGCCAAAATTTCCCGCGAAACCGCCTCTTGTCTCAAAATTCATTTTATATCCCGGCATGGCGCCAAAATACAACATACTCATCATATACATATATTCATATTTTTTATTATATATTTATAATCAGCATATATCTCCTTTAATAGTCTCATATAGAGCGCTGTGCTAAACGCACCTTTGGACACCCTATACAAAAGGTGGATCTATATACTTTAACTGTAATAGTTCAATTGTCCAATACCGAACATGTGGCTACAAATCAAAAACAAACTCCTAGGGACATCATTCATATGTTGAATTAGTTGATAAATCAAATAATAAAAATTATCTTTATGAAAGTTCTTTTTATGAATGCGGAAATTTAGAAAAAGATTATACAAATCATCTTTGGTATGGAAATATTGGAGTTAAATCAATCAACACAAGTTTCTGTAAAGCAAACTATGGAGCAGGAATAGTTCTAAATTCTCCAACAAGTCTAAGTAATGTAACATATTCATCATTTTGTAACACAACATCAACTTATTTAATTTTATCATTAGATTGGGGTAACTATAGTTTTAATTTTTGTAATGTTTTGAACAATAAACACAAAAATCTAATTGGGGAACATTCTATGCAGGTGTATCAACTGTTCTTATTGAAAACTGTTCATTTCTTGGAAACACAGGACCGAGAAAAGAATTTTATCAAGATTATTCTGGTTCAATTACAGTTCAAGATTCTTTCTGTGACAGAATAGATAAAACAAAAGGATCAGTTACAACAAATAATGTTCAAAATACATCTTCTATTCATCATCTTTCTCACTTTTCATCATATCTGTGTGAAGCAGAGTTTCCTATTTTAGATTTAGAGATAAAGAAGAATATTATCACAAAATATGAAATTGTTTATCATTATTCATATCATTTCATTACTTCTCTTTGTATTGCTTTAGTAAAAAAAATAAAATTAATTTGATGAAACTCTCAAGCCTAATTTGATGTTAAATATGAATTTACATTAGATTGGTATAACATATTAAGGTACTTCTCAGGAAAATTAAAAAGAATTAATAAAAATATTGAATTATGTTTTATTTCAAGGAGAATGAGGTATATGATATGAATGCGCTCTAATTGCAGACGCATTTAAGCTCTACTTTTTAGAGCTCGAAAGTACTAAAAAGTAGAAGAATTTTTAGAAAAAAAGGAGGATTAAAAAGCCGTAATCCTCCTAGTGCACTCTTAAGCCAGAATGCAATATAGAGTTCATATGCAAAGAGTGAAAATACTAATGTGTGGGGAAAAATATCAAAGTTCCGCATTTAAATTTCTCTCTGTATTTTTCAGAGAAATAATTTTTATTTGTTGAGGTAAAAGTTACCTTCAAAATATAGAGAATGTGTATACATTTCATACTTAACATAAATAAACAAATATCTTTTTATTTAATAAACACATAAAAATATTACATTTTTCCGCTCCACATCTTTCTCAGTTCTTCATTTTTAGCTTCTCTTCGAGCTCGGACTGTATCCCAATGCATTTGTTCTTGAGTCTTAACAACACTGCTGACTTTCGCTCGATGACGCGCTTCTTGTCTTGTTAGTTCTTGTCCTTCTCTGTTAAACAATGAAGGATTCTTTTCAACTCGTTTAAGCATTTTTCGAGTTTCCTTAGAAACTTGTTTACTTTTTTCCTCTTCTTCTTTCCTACGTTCTTTAATATCTTTCGTTTTAACTTGACTTTGTTCTCGTAATTTCCGCAAATCTGGTTCGATCCTTGCAGCAACTTTGATTTCCTTCCTAAGTCGTTCATCTTCTTCTTCTCGTTTAGCTCTGTCTGCTTCTGCTTGTTGAACAATCTTTTGTCTGATCATTTGATTACGTAATTGTGCTGCTTTTGTTGTTGCTGGATCATAGAACGCCTTCTTATCTTTTTCACTCATATTTAACCTCCTTGGATCAACATCATCTTCGTCAATAACAACTCTTTTACGATGCTTCTCTTTTGGAGGTGGAGGAGGGACTTTTTCACCGATTTCTTCTAATTTTTGTTCTCCTATTAACTTCTTGAGTTTTCTTTCTTTGATTAAATCAGATTCATCTGGTATTAATTCATATTTCTTCTTAGAACTTTGTTTAGATGCTCGCTTTTTCTCTTCTTCTTCCAATCGCTTTGACTTTAATGATGTTCTGTCTTCTTTAGGGAATCGTGGTGATTTGTCTTCTAATGGCTTTGGTTTGTATTCTAATGCTTTACGTCTTTCATCTGTCATCTCGTGTTTTCTGACTGATTCTTCTAATTGTTTCGAAATATCTTCACTTCGTCTCAAACTTTCTTTTTGTCGTTGAAGTGATTCTTCTTTTCGACGCTCAATAAGTTCTCTTCTTTCATCTTTCATGAATTCTGGGATTTGATCTGGAATTGGTTCTTTTTTCATCTTCTTGTATGGACTGTTTTCTTCTTCGAGTTGTTTCTTATATTTTTCTTTCGCAAGTTTGTTGTTTTGATCCGAAATTTCAAGACTACTATTAATTCTTCCATATAAACTACTTGCATTTGGATCAGGTTTAATTGTTGATGTGTCTGTTTTGCATGAAATTGTTGTTTTCTTTGTAATTGTGTTGCTTTTCATGAGAGAATCACCCATTGTTTGAGTATTCGTTTGGAGATCAGTTGTACCTAATGTAGATGTTCGATTTGTGGCAAGAAGATCGGTGTCACTACTAAAATCAGTAAATTCTTTTGTATCTTTATTACTTTTTGCTTTTTCTAAGGTTGATTGAAGAGTATCTGTAATAGTAACCGATTTCCTTTTATTAGGGCTAATTTTATCTGTATCTGTTTTTGTTTTTCCTTGTGTTGATTCTAATTTGAAATCTGATGTCATTGTATCATGGAATGATGAAATATCGGCCATTGTTGATATAGTATCTGTATTTTTATCTGTCTTTGTTGATTTATCTGTTGTTTTCAGTGTCGAAATTTTTGAGATTTTCGAAGATGAATTATCAAAGTCGTAATTTTTGCTAGATGAATCGATTTTAGCTGACTGTGATTTTCTTACGATGCATGACGAATCTCCTTTTCCAACTTTTTGTACTCCACAGGTCATAAGTTCGGATTCGAGTGCATCTGATATTCCGTATTTATTTGTTTTAGATTTTGAAGATGATTCGAAGTCATCTGAAAAGGACAGATCGCTAAATTGCGCTTCAGCTTCTAAATCGTTAAAATATGTATATTTTGCTGATGATATTGTATCTTGTATCTCTCTATCTGCAGCTTCTCTACGTTGTGTGCTTAAATTATGCGATGTTGATATAAAATCTAAATCTGTTTTTAGTGCTTCTCCAATTTTTTCTGGGTCTGAAGTATTTAATAGCGGTCTTTCCTTCTTTGGTGGTGCTGGCCCATCCGAGTCCATCGATTGATCACTTGAAAATGAGAAAGCTGATGGATCAGAAAAATCACTATCAATATCCTTTTGGCTATCAAGGCCGTGTTTTTCTTGGTATTCCCATTCCGTCATAGGAATCTTTTTGGGCTGCTTATCTGGATGAATTGGTCTGTCTGTGAACCATGACGAGTCAAGCAAACTCATCCAGGATTTGAATAGTTTATTTTTTTAAACGTACAGTTAATTTTACTAGATTAATGCAAAAATAAGTATTTAATTATATTAGCCCCAACAAATGGATATAAAATAGCATAATTTAATTCTTCAAAACAAAAAAAAAAAAAAAAAAGGTAGTGGGGCTTCCAGGCGCGTTGCGCCCTCTAGCCCCGAAGATGTTTAGTATAAATGAAGTTTTTATTCGGAGGGCTTCCAGGAGCTTTTCTGTCACTTTTCAGGAAAAACATTTTTATTATTATATATAAATGAATTTTACAAAACCACCGTTACCCTTCTTTGGAAATAAGAGTAGATGTAAAGATATTCTATTGAGAGAACTTAAGAAACTACCGAATGGTCTAACATTTGTAGATTTGTTCGGTGGAAGTTTCTATATATCCCATTTGTGCCATACCGTATTCCCAGACTCAAAGATTATATGCAATGACTTCGACAACTATATGAACCGTCTCAAACATATACCAGACACAAACAATATATTGAAAGAGTTAAAAGAAAAGATACCTATAGGCAAGATGGAACGTATACCATTAGATAAGAAAGATATTGTGAGAGAGGTTTTGAAAAAAGCAGAATATATAGACTGGGATAGTATATCTGCTAGACTATTATATAGTGGTTCTATAAGAGTTCATGACATTGAAACACTTATGTCAAAAGTTTTATATCTTAACTATACAAAGGTTTTCAAAAAGAACATAGAAAAATATATTGAGGGTATAGAGTTTGTGAGATGTCATTGGACAGAGTTGTATGAAAAATATAAAGACAAGGAAAATGTTTTCTTTATAGTGGACCCGCCGTTCTATAACACATGGGATTTTCAATACCAAGTAGACTGGACTTTGAGAGACTCTTTAGAAACTTTAGACGTTTTACATAACCATCCATGCTTTTACTTTACATCCGATAAAAGTGGTTTGGAAACCGTTATGAGATGGTTAGGGGACATACATGACTATGAGTTTAGATATGACAAGATAGAATATGAGAGAGGTCCTATAAACCGGAGAAAGTGTCACAACAAAGAAATTTTATTGGTAAGTAAATGTGGTTTGAAATAGGACTACTTGTTTTAGGTTTTTTCCATTGTGTCATTTACTTATTTGACGTGGCAGAAAGATATAGAGAATATGAAGATGAACCAATACCTGCAAATGTTCAGCATATGTACTCGTAAGAGATATTTTTATCTAATATTAAATGGACGCACAGAACTTAGCGAATGCACAGCAACCTGGACAACCAAACCCAGAGAATATTCCAAATGAAGTTAGAATACAAACTGCAATGGCAAACTATGGTCAAGTGCCAACAGATGTACAAATGCAAACTGCCATGTCAAATGACGCTGCGTTAGGTTTGCCACCATGGTATGCAAATATGAGATGGAAAGAGTTTTATACAAACCCTGAAGTGGGATATAAACAACTCTATGCAGATGACGCGAACACAGGAGTTGACCCAGAATATGTTTTCTACCAGAGGAGAAATAGAATGTATGAGCTCCAGTTAAAGAATGCAATGGAACTCAGAAGGAAACGTAAAAGACTAGGCGGACATTAGATTTTTACATATAGTAAAATGGGTTTCTTCAGTAGTATTGGAAACTTCTTCAGAAGAGTTGGAAGAGGTATATGGAATGGAATAAAATCTGTCGGAAGAGGAATTTGGAACGGAGTCAAAAATATTGGTAAAAGAGTAGGTCAGTTCGTTGGTATTATACCTAAAGACCCTGAACCAGAAGAACAAGCTCCTGTTATACAACAGCCTGAACCTGCACCACAGTCTAGTTGGCAACCAAATTCAACACCTCAACCGTATTAAAAATTATATTTTTACCGTTCGATAGTAGTTGTATATGAAACTAAGTTCTAAGTAAAACGCATGGTATAATGGAATTATTCTTTTTCTTCCATCTGTAGTAAACCATACTTGAAAGTCTGAAATACTTCCACTTGGTGGTTCGTATAACTTTGTAGGTTTTTCGTAAAAGTCATTTGCCAAGCATAAGAAAGAGTTTTGCGCACCAGAAAATGAAGCATGAACAATAATAGCATCTTGGTCGAAAACATCTTTAAATAAATATGGTTCATCTCTTGCATATCGACTGTAAATATTTGCTAAAGGAAGTTCGACTTTCTGATTTAACATTCTTTGCAAATAATACCATGACATTGCAGTGAATTCTGTATATATTTGTTCGTCTTTATTTGGATTGTCTTCGTAGATTTGAAATGACACTTGTGAATTTTGTTTGTCATATACAATTCTCACATAAAGTGTGCTATTGGTATTTGCATATTCATCAGCATATTTTGCATAACATGAATTTATTTTATCTTCTATATTTTTTAACGCAGTCTGTAGAGAAGATGAAAGGTCAACTTGTATTAGCTCAATTTCTTCCCACATTTTTCGTTTCCCTTCAGATATATAATCTATATGAAACCTTACAATAAATGGAAAACTTTTATCTTCTACAGACACAAATTTTATTCTACGAAAGCCAATAGCTTTTGTGACGGATGGGTCTCTTAACCATCTTAGTGGGTAGTCAAACCGATAGCCTTCATGCTTTACGGTATCTGTCTCAAACTTTTGACCGACATTAGTAAAAAGTTCATCTAATGGTTTAGTTGTAGCAACTCTAGAATTTTCTTTTTCTATTGAAAGCATATTTTATCTATAATAAAAATGTCAAATGAAACAGCGTCTATGAGAGAAATACAACACAACCGACAACTCATTATACAAGCTCTAAATAAGAACACAACAAACTTTTCAAACTATTCTAAGATATCTGAGTCATTGAAAGAAGGAAACTTAAAACTGACATTAAACCCAATGACAGATGAGTTTCTATTTCAAGACAAGAAGAACCATACTGTCTGTATAAATCCAACAAAAGGAACTTTAAACGAGAAACCTATAAATGAACTTCTTTTGAAGGCAGATGTTGACAACAAAGCTGACAAAGAGTATGTCATTGAAAAAGTTCAAGAAGAACATGACAGAGCAGATGCAACATATGCAACAAAAGAGGATGTTGAAAAGAAAGCTGACAAAGAAACTGTAGATATGTTGGCACAAACGGTTTCAAGTCATGACAGAGCTTTAATGGAAGATGGACAACAGTTGAAAGAGCTTGAGAAAGGTGTTACAGAGTTAAGGAATACAAAAGCAGACTCGACATGGATAGCTGGATATGTAGATGCAACAAAAGAATATATTTTCGCATGGACAGAAAGAACATACCCACAAAAACATCATACACATAACATCTATGACGTAGATGAACTTCAAGAAAAGTTAGATGGCAAAGCTGACAAAACAGAGCTTCAAACATTAAAGACAGAAATACTTCAAACATTATATCCTATAGGTTCTATTTATACGTCAATGAACTCTACCAGACCAGAAGTAGTACTTGGTTTTGGAACTTGGACTCAAATAGTCGACAGGTTTTTGTATTGTGCAAACTCTTCAAAGGAAACAGGTGGAAGTAAAACGATTTCAGGTGAAAATTTACCTGCGCACAGTCACTACGTAAGATTAACTACATCTGAAGCAGGTTGGCATAAGCATAGATATTGGGATTGGTCAGGAATGACAAAAGGTAAAGGATATGATGTTAAAGAGGACGTTAAGTTTGCTATAAATTGTTACTGGAGTGACACTCAGGGAGAAGGAATTCATTCACATTTCGTTACAGGATATACACATCCAACGAGACAAAGTAAAGACTACATGCCACCTTACATGACAGTTTACGCATGGTATAGAAATGCTTAGTCGTCATTTTCAACTTCTTTAGCATATTCGTCAGGAGTTGTCTTATATTTGTTAGGAACTGTCTTTGAAAGTATACCACCTTGAACTTTGACAAGTTTGAAACGAGGTCTGACAATAGTAGTTTTATCTTCTGCTTGCAGTGTGTACATTTTGCCATGTTTGCCTAAAACTTCATAATATTCTCTTGTATACTTTCTTCTATTTTTACGAACACGAATGTGAGTACCTGTCGGGTTCCCATTGTTGTCATAGTCAATAGTATTTTCATATGGGTCGCGTTAGGTATTTCTATTTTTACTTTGTCACCTTTCTGAAGTTTGAAGCCCGGCATTCTTTCTTGTTTGTCTCTTTTGACTAAATTATTAAATATATAGTCTTTCTCTAAGTCGGGGTTGTTTTTCATTTCTTCGGGGGAGTGGTTTCCCAAACCTTTTTGTTTACGGTTATTGTAAATATTTAAAAACTTGTCTCATCTTTGCCATGGAGAAGTGTCTATATTTGTCGTCATATAGACATTTCATTTGCTTCACCACCTTGTGGTTGGTTTAAGTCTCTTAACATTTTTATACAACCGTCAATGACACCAAGAGCAGAATGGTTTTGGTCGACAATGAAATATTGGTTTACATTTTTTGAACGCAGATAGTTTTTAATATCATCTGATTTGAAAGAACTTTCACAGTCAGATGTCAGTTTTGTTGGATGGTATTGTCAACGAATATTGACAAAGCAGTTTTCACATCTAAAATATTTTTGGACCATAATGGTATGGCTTCACAGTATCTTGTGTTTTGACCAACAAATATTAGCCAGTATGGTGGTCCATCTTCTCTATACCTCGGAATGTTTTCCAAGATATCCATAAACCAAGCATTTGGTGTTGAACTAAAGATTTTTATCATGAGTGCTTTCTTTGTTGCCTTAGAAACATAGGGGTCCTTGTTTGAATTCGTCATTTTTTAACCCATAAGAAATGGGTTTATTTGGCGCATTAGCAGGAGTTGCATCCAGATTTTTGCCCGCAGTGGGAACAATAGCCAGAGGTGTATTTGGAGTTGGAAGGAAGATTTTGAGTACATTAGGTATACTTAAAGAGAAAGCACAACCTATTATACAAACTGTACAGAAAGGTTGGGATGTAGCACGAGATGCAACAAATCTTATTCCAAATC